CTTCCCAAATCCTTTACTCTCACATCAAAAATTTAAATCAACTCAGCAGGCATCCTGAAAAAAGTTCTAAGTATCTCTAAATATAGTAAACTCTGAAAAGTTAATTGTGCATTATGAATCATCTTATTTTTCTTTTTCAGTCACACAAAAAAACTAACACACGCTGAATAGAAGTAAATGCAGAAGTAGGAGGCCCATCCACCAGAAAAGAAATGCTGCTATTCCAGCCAACATTAAATTGACCAATTCCTTAACTGATTCAAGAAGCATAAATTGGGTATCATTTAAAACTAGTGCCACCACAAAGATCCCAAATGATAGTGTCTTATCTCTCCCGAAATTCCTTTCAGAAAACTTAGTGTGTGTAATGAGAAGATACCTGGAGAAAACATGGCCTGACCTAATATACAGGCAGCTGAAAAGTAATACTAGATGGTTCAAAGAGGCAGAAGCAGATTATCTTACACGGCCACACCAAAGGCTGAAATTCCCCAAGTCTTACCTCATAGCAGCAACTGGAAGGGCAAACTTAAAGACGGGGTGAAGAGTAAAGTAGAAAAAAGAACGAACTCTGCAACTGACAGTTTAGTTTTCGGAGAAAAGTATGCTGATGTCAAAATATGTAAATCAACACTAAAGTTCCTAAAGACACTTGAGAAATAATTAGGAACAAGTCTGATCACAAAGGTAAGAACTACTGACTCTTCTCAAAAATCAGCCTAATTGTTGCCATCTACTGGGAGGAAGGCAGAAATGCTTGCGGGTCAGGGACGGAGGGGGAGATGTCAAGTCCCTAACTCCCTTTTGAGACGAGGCTGCTTTCCCCAAGTGGGTAGAAGAAATGGAAATATAGGTTTACTAAAAGAAAAATTAGACAGCTGCATGAATACCTTACATTAAAAAACACCCATGTCTCTTGTAGCAGTAAAATACACAGCCTTCACAAATGTCTCTATTCTACAGTCCACAAAATCCCACAAATTTTGCACTCTATAACTTGAACAGGTATTTAATTCATGAATTTGCACTAACTGCTAGCATCTCTGCTATTTCCCCATAAAAATAAAATGAATGCAAACTGCAGTCAGCAAAGTCTACGAGAATATTCTAGAAAGAAAAGCTGCTGGAAGAAAGCTAAATGTTACTGCTACCGGACCCCTGAATGAAAGTATTATTCTCTGCATCTTCAGTTTCCCTCCAGTCACCATCTAACTTCATTTCCCAATTTTGAAATCCTATCTTGCCTACTCTTGAAAAAGGTAGAACAGTCTACTAATACATCAACTGGAATGCTATGCAAATATTTTACCAAGATATTTAGCTTGATGAAACAGGGAATATTAATTTGCACTTTTTAAAAGTAGGTAAATACTTAAGCCACAACATGCTTTTTTTAAAAACACCATTTTTTCTTTTACTGCATTAGATGTTTAGCAGAAGTTTCTTTTACACCTGACATTACTGAATAACTCACAAAAAGTCATGTTATTAATTCTGGAACAGTACTCTGAATTTAAAAAGAAAAAAATCTCTGAATAAACAACAGATGAATGTGTTAAGACAAAATGATTGCCAGCTTCCACTAAAGATTCCATGACTGGACAGGAGCAACAGGAGTCCTTTAGACATCGCCTGCTTATTTACTGGAAGTATTCTAACTACTAAGTAGGGACACTAAACAACAAGTTTTACCTCCATGGCTTCTCTCACCCCAAAACTTACCACAAACACGCCTATAACATACAGTCCTAGAAAGGGAAGCAATTTCATTGAAAGACAAATAAAATCTAAAAGCACTTTTTCTTTGCAGTTCACCTACAAAGTAAATATGCCCGTACACTTTTTTCATGTTGTCACAGCCTATTCAGGGATTAACAATAAAGTCAACATGTCTATTTGTTAAAGCTAATTTCTTGATCTCCCATTTAAGAACCTCAATCAACACAGCCTGAATTTTCTGTTAGTTCATAAATATGGATCCTCTACTGCAAAGGGCCAGTTTAGCTTCCCATCAGCCCCTCGCCTCAATTACACCTTTGCAAGTTACCCATTCTTCTCTACCCACCCAAACGATCAAGGACAGTTCAAGTAGCAAGTCTTCCTCAGTAACTGCAACCTAGGACTGAATCTCTTTCTAAACCTCCGAGGGCCCACTGTATAAAAAACTCAACTTTGTACTTCGTAACAAATATGCACAATGTTAAATGTTGTGTTCTACTATCATAGTTTGAACTCGTTTACAGTAAAGGACATTCCAACGTAAGAGATCTTTTATAAATCTCCTATTTCTCTTCCGCACTCTTCAAGAAGGCAAACCTGGTATGGAACCAGAAACGCACATGGATTAGTTGCTGAGGAAATATCTGCACAATGAAAGTACTTCCAACAATTTATTCGGTAAAGCCAAATTTTGTGCCCTAATTCTTCTGTTTCTTAATTTAGATTCTCATATCAGGTTTCCTAAACGTAGAAAACCTGCATTTAGAATATCTACGGGATACTTCTCGATGCTAAACACTATACTATATATAGTTACCAAGTTTGAGAAGTGTTTTTCAACTAAATGAAACAAAAACTCAGGACAGGAACCTTCTGTATTCCTCCCAGCAGAGACCTGGCACACAGTAGCACTTGATAAATACGTATCGATAAATATGCTTTTATCTACTGGTACACAGAATTCTCAAATGCTAAACCTAACATCACAAAGTCAGTAAAATGGTCTACTGTCTTATCAGTCCCTTAAGTGCATATTTTAATGAACCTAATTCTGAAAAATTTATATTCTAGCATCCTACACTCAGCTACCAAACCCTGAGAAACGAAAATAAGCAAGCAGACAGAAACCATGGCAAATGGTGCTAATAATACTTCATAATATAGTTTCTCAATGTGTCACCGAAACGAACTCTATCCCTGCCCATATACCATGCAGGTTAGGAGCCTTGTGCCAGCCACTGTGGGCATGGAAAAATTAAACCTTTGGCACAAGAAGCCAAAAATTTACTTAAGAAGAAGTAAGCAACTAATTATTTAAGGCAGATGGTGAAAGCAATAACTAGTAAAACGTTATGGAAGAAAGAAGTGAAGCGTAAAACTCTTACAGTAGCTACCCAAAGAAAAAGTTAAATGTGTAAATGTCACTACAAGAGATACAAGATGAGAGAAGGGTATCAGTCCAGGTGGACTCAACAGTCAAAGTCCAGGCAAGAATGCTGAGGTTCCTGGAGTGTGTTCAGAAGGAATGAACAGCTCAATCTGCCCACATCCAGCCCAGGGCGCAACACAGACAAGATTATAAAATACTGGGGCCGTAGCAGAAGTTACAGCATGTTCATATATTTCCTACTTACAAGGAAACTACAGACACTTGGTTTTCAGGAAGATTAACAAAAGGGGGAGGGGGAGCTCCATATGATCTCCACGAACCTGCTCTTTAAGGACACAAAACAGCTTAAATTACAACTCAACAGTGAATTTCAGAAGGGCTACCTGAAAAAATTCATTTTGGGTTTTCCAGGGCATCACATATGTTTACCAGGATAAGGACTTCAAAATGAGTTAATTTGACCTTAAGAAGTTATAGCACAAGGTACATCTATTTATTCAGAATGCTGCCCACGGGTGGAATGAGTAGGAGTTTTGAAGTCAGGGTAGAACTCATTGGTTACCACAGCCAACAAGTTGATTAAAATACACATTGAAATGCTTTAACTTCAAGTCTTGAAGGCTTGCTGATAGACACTTCAGCTTATAAATAGCCTTCAAAGTATGTATTGGGTAGTAACCCAAATTTATAGAAGTACATCCTTTCTAAAAACAAAACAAAAATAAACTCAAATGAGGTATAAAACTCAGCTTTGTACTTAATACACACATTATGTCAAAATCTATTTAGGGCCTCAATCTAGCATTTAAATGATCAACTATTATATGTAAACAAGGGCCAATCACAGAATATAAATGGCTTGTCCTAATTTTTTTCATATGTGATTTAAAATAACTTGCAGTCTCTAAAATACATATCAACAGATTAAAAAGAAAACTTCTATAATCATTTTTAGGATTAACTATGATTCAAAATGTTTGTCAAAACAAGACAGACATTAAGCCCTTACAAAGTATTTTCACTTACAGTAATATTTTATTCTCACAAGACTTACTCCTCCAAGAAGCATTCAAAGATTCCTTATAGGCCAGACACTGTGCTAGATACTAGGGATTAAAAAGGGGGAAGACTGGCTTTAAGGAATTCATAATTGACTAAGGAATATGATATACTCAAAGACTTTCAAGTCTACATATGTAACAGAAGTATGCTCTAGGTAGAAGGGTGTTAACAAATGAGGCAATGGTCAGTGCTGCAATGAACAGTGGAGGAAGAGCCCTGTGTTCCAATCTAGCTTTGGAGCCTAATCTCCTAAGCAGTGTCTAGCATACAAATGACAATTAAATCTCAGTGGCAATTAGCCACGCTCAGATTAGGTACTTGAAACCCACAAAGGTTAAATTATTTGTCCAAGGTCACAAAGACCGAGGAAAAGGCAGTCAAGATTGCAGCCCAAGTCTACACTCAAATCAGATGTTCACTTGAATAGTGCTGTTCACTAACGAGAGGACAGGGTAGCACACAGTTTTTTTCACTCTAGTCCACTAACATGATGTTTGAATTCAAACGGAGCTGCAGAACTATTTACCAATAGCTTCTGCACACTCAGACAAAATAGGTAGGTCTGAATAATGGACAAGTTCCTTTTTCTTCTGGCCAATCCAGTTTAATGAAACTGTAAGAATCCCAACCCAAAGCTGAAAGGCCTCAGAGAAGAACTACAAAGCAGACTTATTTCAGCCTAGGAAACAACTTCTTTTGCCAATAACCTAAAATCAAGTTAGGATATTGGGTTTAATTAAAGAACTGCATTTTTGAAAATCCAGGACACTGGCCAAGTTAAATTTTACTTAAAAAAATCAAGAGACTGGTTCAGCAGAAGTATACTTACCTATTTACTGTTAACTAGCAGCAAGCACCCACTATGTGTCAGAGTAACCCAGCAAACCAGGCAGAGATTATAAAGAACAATTGCTAGGAGTTTGTGCCTTCAAGAAATCTGTGACACAGCTGTTTGAACTATACAGAGGCAACGAAAGAAAATACACAAATGTAAAGCTCATGTCAAATGTTAAGAACTACAAGCATCAAGATTGTACATTACAATCGGCAGATTATACTTATTGTATAATATCCATCAGATTCTCTCTTACTGTTAAGCCCTTTCCAGCAGTCAGGAAGATATGAAGAGGCTGGGATCACCAAAGCAAATAGCATCCTTAGGAATCTGTTGAGACCAAGAAACTTTCCAAGCAGGAAGACTGGTTGCACAGTCAGCAAGACTAGGTTAACATTATTGGTTTGGAGTGGGAAGGAAAATGGGTGTTATTTTCAATGAGGCTTATGAGTGCACCTTCATGCAAAACACAGTTGATACAAGATAATCCTGGACTTGGGGAAACCTATAATCCAGTCAGGAAACAAACGCAACACATGTCAACAAATCTAACACTATAATCCCAAAATGGAGCCTATTTAGATAACCAAGAAATAAATGGGAAAGATCCTGGGATAGAAGGGTTTGAGGAAGTGCTAGGAAGGGGTGAGCTGAAGGGAACCTCAAATGGTTTAAATAAAGGAAAAGTGCAGGTCAGTCTGGCAGTAACAGGAACCTGAGAGAAGATGAAAAGCAACAAACAGGTTGCTTTTTTCAACCTGAGTCCATCAAATTTCCTCAGCAAATGGAAAAATAAAAGGGCAACTGGTATTCTATTTGCTCGAAAAGATCATCATCCACCTAAAAGAAAAAAACAAAACAAAACACCTCCTCCCCAAATTCTGTAAAAAAAAAAAAAAAAAAAAAAAAATAGATTTGGCAAGGTTTTCCCTTCATTGTAGACTCTGACGTTATAAAGTCAATTCCATAAGAGCCACGATCCGAAACAGGTACATGTGTTATCAATAATGAAAATGTAAAGAAATTTCTCTAAATATGATTAACAAATTTATTCAGGAGAAAGTATGGTAGAAATCTACCATGCTGATGCAAAAAACCGAAAACCAAAACCAAAACCAACCAATCAACCCAAGAGTAACTTAACAGAAATTGGGCCCAAGTTCCACTACCAATTTAACAGCAGTTTCAAAAAATAAGTTGCTGCACTTATCTTACATCAAGGTCACCGCCCCCCACCCTTCACCATCACTGGTGAAAAGCTGTAAGTGTTCTTAATGGCCTCAAATAGCAAATGTAATTTTCTAAAACTAATGATAATATATTACACTTATTTAGCAGTTTGTAATTTTTCACAGCCATTGTATCCACTGGGTCTCACAACCACCCAGTGAGGTAAGACAGTGACTGCCCATCCCCATTTTACAGATAACTGGAGACCAGATAGGATAAGTGAAAAGCTCAAGGTCACACAGCTACTGTCAGTGTGTGAATTCCCATGAATTTGTGTCTCTTTGCTAGGATGATGTGATTAAAATAGGATCATAAAATCTTACGTAGATAACATTAACCCAGTAATCTTAAGTTAGAATGGAAAAGTAAACATTACTTCAAATTTACTTTGCTAGGTGAAAGCATTGATTTTACACTGGCCCAGCATCCCTTTCACTTTTTTAAAATAATTATTTTAGTTTAGCAGCTTCTAGAACTCTGTCTGAAGTATTCTAAAACTTAGAAAGTAAATGAAAACCTAAAACAAAAAGCCTGTTCACGACACAAACTTAAACAGTAATTGTCAGCAGAGCAGACTTAAAAACCACTCAAACTCCTTAAAAACTGGGAATGGAATAGAAACAATGATAATGTTTATTACGGTCCTTAAATTCTTACGGATACTGGCACATTCATAGAAAGGCAGATGTGAACAAAGCCCACAACCTCAACCTCCAACCATGTTAATATGCTCTCTTAAGCATAAAATAAATGAAATAAAAACTCTGCCAACAATCTCACAAAGATGATGTAAAAGCCCAATTCAATCTTTCTGGGGTTGAACATGGAGCAGGGTTGTTTCAAAATGAAGAACTGGAAATTTTGTTTACTCTAAAATTCCCAATACTGATCTCTTTGCATAATCTAAGTATGAAAATAAATCTCAATAAAACCATCTGCAACTTATTGTCTCTAAATCTGATAAGGCCATTCCTCAATCCTAGCTGCTCCCTCCACACACACACACACACACACACACACACCCCCACCCCGTGTAAATGCGACACACACACACACAGGCCTCATATATAGGCCTCTTGCCTTTTCCTCCAACAACTAGGACCTTTGTTCAGAGCGTCGGTTTTTTGCCCCACTCAATAGCTCTTTCAACTTTCCACCCTATATTTTTTGTTTTGTTTTGTTTTTAGAGAGGAGATCCTCAGCCTCCACTTCCTGGGTCTTTAAAAAATGAAATGCCAAAAATATCTATAGAGAGACTGGAGAGCAATAGAAAGTTGAACACAGCACTAAAGGGCCTACAAAACGGAGTAAAGCCCGGGGATCGGGTGATTTGGCAACCCAGGCAGGATCCGGGGAAGGCCGACTAGGAAAGGAGACAGCAGGGGAGCAGTTAGACGGCCACTCAGAACACATTCGCTGCGCTATTAAACGTACCCCCCGCACCCCTCACACACGAACGTTTACTCACTGCCACAGTCCCTCCTTCAATTAACTAACGAAGTAATTAAACTATACCCACCGCCAGACACGATGCTTAAGCTAACCGTCCCCAAAGTAAAACGACGTTATCAAAAACCAACCAACCTGTCTTAAGGGTTTAGGAGCAGCCCCTTCCGTTCTCTCCTTACCACACAAGGGTAACCAATTCCCCGGCCGGCCCCCCCCCCAAAACCCGCCCCGGCCGTTCAAATGTGTTATTTCCTCCCGATTTGCATGTGTTTTTAAATCTTTATTTTCTCCCCTCTAGCAAATTAAGGATTTCTGTTCTTCTGAGGAAGGAAGCGCCACGAAGGACAGGATTGGGGATTTTCCAACCTTCGTTATTTGAAGTCCCCTCTAACTTGTTTCTGAACTAAAAACCCACTCACTATGGAGGAGGATGGAGGAGAGGGTGAACTGAATGGGCAAACGATATAATAGGTTTTATGTAATCCACATATAAATAAATTAATCGCCTGACTCGCTTTGAATACTAATACGATTGGAGTGACAATTGGTCCACCTCCCTCCCAAGTCCTGAACCCCCACCCCCCATTTCCATCCTGATCTATTTAGAAGCATGCTCTGCTCCTCTCAGCCAAGTTTCTCGGCCTCTTTTCCAGCCCCTCTGCACGCCCGTCTCGTCGTCATCCTCACTCAGCCTCAACTTCCCACGGCTAAAGAAACAGCCCAGCGCAGACCCCGTCTCCGGGCTCGCCCGCCCACAACCCTCCCCCTTGGCAGGAAACCCCTTACTGCGGTCTAAAGTCACTCCGGCCTCTCCCTCCTCTGACCCTCGCTTCCCACAACTGTTGTCACTCGAGCTGCTCCCTAGTTTCCATTTCCGGGCAGTCCCCGGCCCTGGAGCCTCTCCTCTCCCGGTTTCCGGGCCCCCCATCCCATTTCCGGGGAACCCTTGCCGTCTTCACGCCCCCCACCGGCACTTCCGGCCCCCCACTTTCTCACTTCCTAGAGGCCCTCCAAGCTCCAAAGCCCACTTCCGGCCCCCCCGGCCACCACCGGGCTCCCCAAGACCCGCACGCCTTACCCCGGTTCCGTGAAGGGCCCTCCTCATCGCGGGGGGTCCGAGCGGGGACCCAGCGAACCCCCCCCCCCCCCCCCCCCCGCTCCCGCCCGGCCCCGGTCTCCCTCGAGCGTCTCGCCCGTCAACCCCCGACCCGGTCCTTCCGCGGCCCCGCCGCCGCCGGGAGCAGGCCGAGCGGGGGCCGAATCGCGGCGATGACACAACCGGGCTTCCTGGGACTTTCTGTTCCAGCTCCTCCCCACCCCCCCCCCGGCCGCCCCCCCAGCCCCTCACCCCCTCGTACAACCCCCTCCCCCAAGCCTGGCCCGGCCACTCAGACCTGCGCCCCAATTACCTAGTTGGGCCCCAAAGTCTCCGGTCCGGACTCGGTGGCGCGGCAGTAACTTCCACTCGCTCCCCCCCCCCCCCCCCCCCGGCGGCGGCGGCGGCGGCGGCGGCTCCTCGGGTCCCTTCAATTATCAGCTGAGCCGCAGCACCGCGGCCGGCGTGCGCCTCCGCCCGCGCCGCCTCCCTCCCCGCCCGTTCCAACACCCCCCGGGAACTACTTTGCCCGCTACCTCGGGCTCACGGGCTCGTCCGCGGGTAAGGCCCCGCTGCCTACACGCAACCCATCACATCGCCCCTCCCTCCCCCACCGCCCGGCGTGACTCTCCCAGCGGCCTGAGCTCTCCTCCCGATCCCTTCGAGGGACCAGGAAGGGGAATGTGGGGCTCCGCTTGATATCCCTCCGCCGGGGTCACCCCCTCCCCTCCGTGGCAGCAGGAACTAATTCCCCTTCAGGTCACCGGGGACCTGAGGGTGGAAATCTCACGGATCAGTGTTCCCTCTGACTCTTAGGAGAAGGGGCCATCACCCTAAGGAAGAAACCCCCTGCTAGCTCAAAACCGGGTTCGATTTAAACTAGGGCTTTGGCCCCATGACCCCAATGAAGCCCCGCCCCTTCCTGGTTGTCTTAGCGACGGCGGTGGCGTCCCAAGATGGCGTCGTGGCTGCCGGAGACTCTGTTCGAAATTGTAGGACAAGGCCCAGCGCCGAGCAAAGACTATTACCAGTTATTGGTCACCCGGTCCCAGGCAAGTGCGAGGCGCGGTTTACCCTCTCTAAGCTCCCTGCCGCCCCGGTGGAGCGTGGAACGCTAGCCCCGCTAGGCCGAGAGCGACTGTGGCCCGCCGGAAGCGTCCGGTCCCAGCTCCGAGCCGGGAGATTTCCCTCGTCACCTCGGCCTCCTCGGCCGGCTCCTCCGTAGTCCGCGTGCCTTTTCCCACCCCAAGGGCCGCTCGTCCCTGGCGAGCTTTCCTGCCTCCCCACATCGCACCCCGCTCCCTTCCTGCCACCGAGGGTTCCTACCCGCAGAGTTCCCTCCGCGCGAAGAGAAAAACAGGCGTCCCCGGCTTGCGTGCAGCCTCACCTCAGCGTGGGAAGGAGAGAAAGAAAGACTCAGCCAAGTGTCCCAAGGAGGAGCCGGCAGGGGAGGGGAGAAAGGGAAGATCTCTTTTCCAGGGTAGGAGTTAATCATGGGGGATTTTTAAAATCTCATTGTGGTCTTTACGGGTACCACGACCACATCAAAACTTCCTTATTTCTAGTAGGAATTGATCGTTGAGAGCTCTCCCCTTACCTTTTTGGAGCCCCTTCTATCCCATTGAAAGTGTGCGGGGGGTGGTACAAAAATGTTTCAGCTGCTCTGCGCGTCGGCCCCACCCATAATGACATCTGCTCCACAACAATAAGACCGAGGATTATGTTATCGCTGGAGTGAAGTAACCATCAGCCTATTTTTGTGACTACTTTAGCTATTTAAGGTGGGCTTTTGGATGATTTATTGTGCCCATGAAATGATCAAGTTGAACTGGGCCTCCACTCGGAACCCGTTTTCTGATTCCTGGCTGAGCTTAAGCCTGTCACTGAGATAAAGCACCTTGTACTTTAATAGATGGTATTTCTATAAAATGAAATTTAGAACTTTGTATATATTTGTTTTAGTGTAGATCTTGAATATTGCATCAGTTTTCCCGTGAGCCCTTAAGTAGGTAGAGAATGCTTTTTTTATAGCTTCAAAAGCATCTTTTAAAGTAAAAATAATACATATTTTATTGTTTAAACTTGAGATGTTTAAATATGGCAAGTGTAGTGTCAGTAATAAAAGCGTGATAGCCTATCAAACTTAAATATTTGATTGAACATTTTGGGGGGAATTTTTACACATTTAATTAGAATTTCTTAAAAGCTGAAATTCACTGTTTTGTACATTTTGGGACTATCTTCCATTTGTTCTAAGAGGTATGATCCTAACAGTTTCTCACTTTCTAACATTAGTGACTGAAAGCAATAACATGTTACCATAGTCATACTTCATTTTCTCTTTTCATCTACCTCACGTAAGTTAAAATGTTCTAATGTTTACAGTCTTTTCCATAATTTGTCTTTTAAACATTTTTTTGAGATTTTTCGTTTTCTTGAAGGTCTGGTATTACAAGTGTTATAATGTTGTAAGCCTCAACAAATGAATAGTTGTTTACTTTTTTATTTTAGTAAATTAACCATTAAGAGTGCCTGGCATTAGTTTTCCCCAGGAATGCTTCCCTTGTTGATGTCGTTCAGACTTTGCTCTGTAGTCTAACTTGGGCACATGCCTGTGTTTTATGAAATCCCCCCCCCCCCCCCCGCCAGGATTGTTTTTTTTTTTTTGTTTTGCGTTTTTTTTTTTTTTTTTTTTTTTTTTTTAACAGATCAAAAACTGGTTTTTATTTCAGGCCCTATTCTTCCTGTCAATTGCTTCTATAAAAAATCCTTTTGAAGCTGATCCATTTTCTTTTTTAAGCAGATGGAATATATCCACTATAGTTCTACCAGTGAGAGTTCATCTCAAATCTGATTAATTCACTCTCTTTTTAAAGTAAAATTTGTTGTAAAAAATAGTAAGCCAAAAAAATAGTCTTTTCAGTCAACCGTCTTGAGAATATGCTATTTTCTAACCACAGGATAATTTTTCTAAGTCTCAGCACAGGAAACCAAACATCCACTAAGAGGTGGTCTGACATAAATAAGGACTAAAAGACTAGAATTGAACTATGTTTTATAAGATGGACTTTTTCTGGAATGACTTTGTAAAATTTTTCCTTTCTCTTTCTTCTTTTATTTTTTTTTTTAATTTTTTTTTTAACGTTTATTTATTTTTTTTTTTGGGACAGAGAGAGACAGAGCATGAACGGGGGAGGGGCAGAGAGAGAGGGAGACACAGAATCAGAAACAGGCTCCAGGCTCTGAGCCATCAGCCCAGAGCCCGACGCGGGGCTCGAACTCACGGACCGCGAGATCGTGACCTGGCTGAAGTCAGACGCTTAACCGACTGCGCCACCCAGGCGCCCCTCTTCTTTTATTTTTTAAAAAATATTGTATGTTATTCAAAATATACCCCAGATTTAGATAGATCTTTCTTTCCCTCTGATTCTCTTTTTTATTCTTTTTCACTGCTTTTATTTTTATTGACTTCAAATTCAAATGATTGCACATTTGACATGGATTTGAAGACAGGTATCTCTCTCATTAGGGTCAGACCATGGTTGGTATAGCACAGAATATAAATGTTGTGCATAAATAATTTCTTTGCTTCTTATACAGTAACATTAAATATATATTTTAATGCTTATAGAGGCATTCCCAGTTAACCACTTGATGCTATGATGTTTTGGTTTTTTCCCAAGAAAGGAACTTATAGAATATAGCTTGTGGTTAATATGGCTTCTCAAATTCAATTTTTTTTTTTAATGTTTATTTACTTATTTTGAGAGACAGCAAGCAGGGTGTGCAAGTTGAGGAGGGTTGACAGAAAGGAAGAGAGAGAATCCCAAGCAGGCTCTGCAGTGACAGCACAGCCCCCAATGCTGGGGACTTACAGACTGAGACTCAGACTTACAAACTGGGAAATCATGACCTGAGCCAAAATCAAGAGTTAGTCGCTTAACCAACTGAGCCACCAGGCACCCTTCAAATTCGATCTTTATAATGATCTTAGAAAAATCAATGCCCTGCTTTCTAAATCAAAGGTTTACCCAATTATTTTCACCTAGTTTTAGTAGTAAATATATTTTCTTATGTTGGTTTCTAATTCTTTGAAAACTAGTAGATTAATAGTAAGAGCTGGAAAGAACCTTGAATGTTATTTAGGCAAGGGATATTCCACACTTCACCTCTAAGAAAATCTTAAATCGTGACCCTTTGCTTAATTATAATCAGCAAGTTGGCATTTACTATGGGGATGCAAAATATAAGATTTCTGCCTTCAAAGAGTTCATCTTTCATTCCACCAATATGTATTAAGCACCTTTTAAAGTTTATTTATTTATTTTAAGAGAGAGAGCGATTCCCAAGCAGCCTTGGAGCCCAGCACAGGGCATGAACTGTGAGATCAAGACCTGAGCTGAAATCAAGAGTCTGATGTTTAACTGACTGAGCCACCCAGGTGCCCAAGCACCTTTTATATATACCTTTTATATGTACTGTTCTAGATGCTGGGGAAACATCAGTGAACCAAACAAAAGTCCCTCCTCTCTGAAGCATATAATCTAGGTAGGAGCAAACAGTTAGTGATTTGATTTATATAAACACTGAAATAGTTTTTTTTTTTTTAAGAACAGAGGAAGTTCATCGCCAAGTGAATGAGTAGCACAGATGCTTTAAAATCCGAGTCCGGGGACACCTAGGTGGCTCAGTCGGTTGAGTATCTGACTTTGGCTCGGGTCAGGATCTCGCGGTTTGTGGTTTCCAGCCCTGCATCGGGCTCTGTGCTGACAGCTCAGAGCCTGGAGCCTGCCTCAGATTCTGTCTCCCTCTCTCTCTGCCCCTCTCCCCCCCCCCTTCTCTCCCTCTCTCAAAAATAAACATTAAAAAAACTTTTTAAATAAATTTTGAGTTCAGAGGAAACAAAAATCACTTTAGGCTAGGAGGCTCAGGAGGGTACTATTATCAATATTTGACTCTTGAAATGGAAGTATTGCTTAAGGTGGTCACAACTAGTGGCTTAGGTTTAATGTGACAAATACTGGAAAACTGCGGGAAGCATTAACTGTAAGCTAAGTAGATGAGAATTGGCGGATACTGGCCTCTTGCACCTGTGTTAGACGGTTGTCCCTGGAGCGGCAACGTGTGATAGTCACCCCAGCAAATGAAAAGAGGAAGAATTGCATAATAGATGACCTTAATTTACCTATTTTACTTAATCCTCCTAAAGACTCCAATAAGATACCTAAAGCAATGTCATCTGGAAAAAAAATTCCAAAAGTTCATTCCCCCCAAAATAACCAATATTTTTGACATGCTTTAGAGTTGCAGCACTGACAGACTGAAAACACCTGAGGTCGCAGGCCAACCTGTGACAGGAAACTGTCTTCTCCAAAGACTTCTCTCTCTCTCTGTCTCTGTCTCTGTCTCTGTCTCTCTCTCTCTGCCCCTCCCCCACACAGGCTGTCTCCAAATAAATAAATTAAAAAAAAAGAAACTAGACTTGGTGACTGACGTTTAGACTTTGCAACAAAGAATCCTGCAGGTACTACTTAAAACTGCACAGCAATTTTAAAGATATAAGATTCAAGTACAGCCTAATAAAAATGTTAATACATACACCCTTTGACCCTGCAAATCCATTTCTAGGATTTTCTATGCAAAAATGCTTTCACATAAGTACTAGGATCTGTGAGCAAGAAGCTCACCAGAGTGAAATAATTGTAAAAACATCTTTCCATTAGTGGAAATTTGGTTAAACTGTGAATCATTCATACCGTAGAATACTCTGCAACCTTTTAAAAAACAACGTGCCAGATCTCTTCAGTAGACCAAATCTTAAGCAAGAAAAGCAAGTTGCTGGGTTAAACATACCCTATAGGAAAAAACAGCCACCAGAGTAGTTTTATTTTTTTTTAATAAATGTTAATGGCGTTTAAATAAGTGTAAGAGGAAACAGCTGAAGTGCATCACTCAGAGATGGAATTAGTGATTGCTTTCACTTCCTGCATTATGTATTTTTTTTTTATTTTTGAGAGCGAGACAGCACAAGCTGGGGAGGGGCAGAGAGAGA